ATTTGTCACAGGGAATTACCTTGGGCAAAGGGCTACCATTTAGGTCACTTCAAAGTTGACCTAAATTTACAATTAATAAAAACAAAACCATATTTTGCTTTGCTAGAAAACTTCTTCATCAATAACCACCAGGTAAGTTTATGCAAACTTACACTTCACATCATGTTATATCAAAAGTTTGTCATGGTGACCTACTTTTTAAATTTTGCGGGGATTTGTTTTCAAATTGATTTAAAAACATATATTTTGCACTTTAAGGCCTATGATCATCAAAATTTGTCAGTTTATGCATCTTGGGACTTCACAATGTCAACTTAAAAGTAGGTCACTGTGACCTACTTTTTGAATTTTTGATTTGTTTTCAAACATTTGAAGGCATATTTTGGACACTTTAAGGCCTTTGATCATCAAACTTTGTCATTTGATGCATCTTGGGACCTTAAAACATATTTATGAAAAGTAGGTCACTGTGACCTACTCTTTGAATTTTGCCGACATTTGTTTTCAAATTGTTTAAAACGCATATTTTGATTACCTTCAGACCTACGATCATCAAACTTGGTCAGTATATGCATCTTGGGTCTTTGAAAAATGTAGGTCACAATGACCTACTTTCAACATTTTATGACTATATTTAAGTATCTTAGGTATTTATTGGCTTAGAATCATCAGACTTTTTGAGTCAATGCATATTTGGTTTTCGGAGAGTGACGACCAAAAAGTAGGTCACAGTGACCTACTTTTGACAATTTATGGCTTTATTTAGGTATCTCTGGTACTTACTGGCTTAGAATCATCAAACTTTGTTAGTTGATGCATCTTGGGTTTTCGGAGAGTGACGACCAAAAAGTAGGTCACGGTGACCTACTTTTGAATATCTTAGGCACGTATTAGCTTAGAATCATCAAACTTGTCAGTTGAGGCATCATGGGTTTTCGTAGAATGTCGACCAAAAAGTAGGTCACTGTGACCTACTTTTGACATTTTATGGCTAAATTTAATTATATCTGGTACTTAATGGCTCAGAATCATCAAACTTTGTCAGTTGAGGCATCATGGGTTTTCGTAGAATGTCGACCCTAATCGGGTAGAAAATTACGCGGATTTCTTAGACTGTCACTATATGCCATACATTTATATTAAGGTCATATTTCCGGTTTGTGTTTGCCTACTTTAATACCACGAATATCTCAGGTACGTATTAGCTTAGAATCATCAAACTTTGTCAGTTTAGGCACCTTGAAAACGTTGACCAAAAAGTAGGTCACTGTGACCTACTTTTGATATTTTATGGCTATATTTAATTATATCTGGTACTAATTGGCTTAGAATTTTCAAACTTTGTCTGATGATGCATCTTGGGTTTTCAGAGAATGTTGACCAAAAAGTAGGTCATGGTGACCTACTTTTGAATATCTCAGGTACTTATTTAATTAGAATCATCAGTCTTTGTCAATTAATGTATCTTGAATCCTCAGAAAATTTCAATCAAAAGGTAGGTCACTGTGACCTACTTATGGTATTTTATAATTATATTATAGTATCTTCAGTCTTAACTGGCTAAATATCATCAAAACTTCGTTCAGTTGATGCATTTTGGGTCTTATGATAATAATAGAGTTGGAGGCTTCTAATAGAAGTGATAGATTGTACAATTTATCAGAAGAGCAATTCAAGGCCCTTGGGCCTCTTGTTATTTTTGAGAAGATTTTTAAAGAATTCTCCTATATATTTCTATATACAACTATTGTCAGCTTGTGGCCCTGCCCTACCCCTGGGGGTCATGATTTGAACAAACGTGAATCTACACTACCTGAGGATGCTTCCATATAAGTTTCAGCTTTCCTGGCACAGTGGTTCTAGAGAAGAAGATTTTTAAAGAATTTTCCTATATATTTCTATGTAAAACTTTGGTCGGCCATTGTGGCCCTGCCCTACCCCCGGGGGTCATGACTTGAACAAACTTGAATCTACACTACCTAAGGATGCTTCCATATAAGTTTCATCTTTCCTGGCACAGTGGTTCTTGAGAAGAAGATTTTTAAAACATGCCACCAAATTTTTATTAATTCCCAATTATCTCCCCTTGAATGAGGGCGTTGCCCTTCATTTAAACAAACTTGAATCCCCTTCACCAAGGATGCTTTGTGGCAAGTTTGATTGACATTGGTCCAGCGGTTCTTGAGAAGAAGTCGAAAATGTGAAAAGTTTACAGACAGACAGATGGACAGACGGACAGACGGACTACAGACAAAATGTGATCAGAAAGCTCACTTGAGCCTTCGGCTCAGGTGAGCTAAAAAATAGAACAGAATAAAGAGAGTTGAAAAACTATGGAAATTATCTGGCAATGCAATATCACAAAGGTATCAAGAAATTTGTGGATAAACGCACAGTACTATAGTTGAACACAAAGAATGATTTAACTAAAACAGGGCTTGATATTGATGTTTGTCAGTGTGTCTTTGTCTGATTCACCTCGTCATTAAACAAAACACTCGTCATTAGACATAGTACCCTCCACACAGAATTGTCCTACCAGACCAGTTACTTTCTGGACCATAATTGCAGAATGTGACTTGTAGATTCAAACAGAATTTATTTCACAATGTGATTTAAACAAGAGGCCCACGGGCCACATTGCTCACCTGAGAAGCTTTGACCATTCTGTTTTTTACCAGATTTCCCCCTTGTTATACATAATGCATCCCCACTCTACCCCACTGATCATAATTTAGACATTTTGAAATCCCCCCAGTGTGCACATAAGTTTCAGCTTTTCTGGCCCAGTGGCTCTCCAGAAGAAGATTTTCAAAGATTTTTCCTATATATTTCGATGTAAACCTTTGATCCCCCATTGTGGCCCCACCCTTCCACATGGGTCATGATTTGAACCATTTAGAATCTACACTACCCCAGGATGCTTCAACATCAGTTTCAGCTTTTCTGGCCCAGTGGTTCTTCAGCAGAAGATTTTCAAAGATTTTTCCTATATATTTCGATTTTTTGATTCCCCATTGTGGCCCTGCCCTTCCCCCGGGTGTCATGATATATTACACTACCCCAGGATGTAAAACTTTGGCCCAGTGGTTCTTGAGAAAAAGATTTTCAAAGATTTTTCTTATATATTTCTATGTTAAACTTTGATTCCCCGGCCCCGCCCTTCCCCCGGGGGTCATGAACAATTTGAACAATTTTCCACATGAGTTTCAGCTCTAGTGGTTCACTTTTTCCTATATATTTCCTTTGATTCCCCAGAATGCTAAACAGTCCACATACCCCAGTTTCCACATGAGTTTCTTTTCTGGCCCAGTGGTTCTTGAGGAGAAGATTTTCAAAGATTTTTCCAATATATTTCGATGTAAAACTTTGATTCCCCATTGTGGCCACGCCCTTCCCCCGGGGGTCATGATTTGAACAATTTAGAATCTACACTACCCTAGGATGCTTCCACATAAGTTTCAGCTTTTCTGACCCAGTGGTTCTTGAGAAGATTTTTTAATGACCCCACCCTATTTTTGTCTTTTCTTGATTATCTCCCCTTGTGAGATAACTTGGCCCTTTATTTTAAAAATTTATATTCCCCTTCACCTAAGGATGCTTTGTACCAAGTTTGGTCAAAATTGGCCCAGTGGTTCTTGAGATTTAGAAGTCGAAAATGTGAAAAGTTTACAGACGGACAGACAGACGGACGGATGACGAACAAAATGTGATCAGAAAAGCTCACTTGAGCCTTCGGCTCAGGTGAGCTAAAAATGTAAGAATTGTTTAGATATGAAACGTTACAATCTAACAGTACTTACATATGTATCAATCGTCACCAGATATCATTCACAAACAATTTGAGTCCTGCATAAAAAACCCACAAGATTCTTGCAAGGTTCTAATTGCTTTATTCTTTATTTTCCCTCTACTGTGATAACTCTATATAAAATAAAATTAATACCATAAAACTGTCTATTTGCCTCATCTAAGGACTACTCCCTGGGACAACTCCCTCATAATATTTATTAGTAATTTTAACCAATCAAAGTGTTCAGTAATTTTAACCAATCAAAGTGTTCAGTGCGTGGAACAGAATTTTTAAATGTTATATTGTCTTGTATAACTGGTGATTCAGATATCCGGAAGCTTCACATATCCGGACAAATTGACTAGGAACCAAAGTGTCCGGATAAATGAGGCTCCACTGTAATTGATGTTATTAGCAATGTAACTAATCAAAACATTTCTACATGTGATGTCAAAATCATTCTTAAATTCTAGTAAAATGAAGACAACGATAACTTTGAAATGTCAATGAAAAACTTTTTAAAAAAATTTTATTGTTCTTGGACACAATGCATTAGTTATCATACCATCTTTTATACCGGATGCATTTGTGATTATGCATCTATAGTGTCTGTTTTTTTAAATGTCGGAATATCTCTGACTGGTAAAAAACTAAAGATTTAGCCTATAATTGTTTCCTTATAGAAAAACAGTTATGGAATCGGAACTGTATAATATTGCTTATACATTTGAAATTTTTTGCCCCTCCCCTTCATAAATCTCATCCATCTGTTTGTCTGTCTGTAACACAAACTCTAACCTTGGTCATAACAGATAGGACAGAGCTTTCACATGTACATATAAGCATCCAAAACTGGCAAATGTATATTGATTTTTCTCCAAAACCTTAGGATAAGATAAATAACTTCTGACTAGTCCACAAAGCGAGGCATAAAAAGTGCATTTCCTGTGCAAACATGTCTCCAAATGTTCTATATTTATCTGTGACCTTGACCTTCATGTTTGACTTAATTTTCAAACAATTTATCAGATTGCTAATGGCATCTCCCATCCACTATGTGGAAATTTAATAATAACAAACAAAAGGTTTTTCTTTCACCAAGTTATGTGTGTTTGGTTAAGTTCAGCCAAACCACATTCAAATCGTTTCATCAGGAAGTGAATTTAAGGGATAATGTGTTTAAAACGAAAATTCAAATTCCATAATTTCAATGCCCACAAATGTTACTGCTATCATTACACAGTAATTTCTTTTCAATGAATATCAGCCTTCAAAATGAAAAAAAAAACATGTAACATTAAAATCAATGAAGATTACATAAATTGGTTGATAAAAATACACTATAAACAAGCATTGAATTTATATTTTATTTTTAATTATTTTAGCTGCTTTGAACTTACAAATTAAAACATCTTATTTTAGCTGCCTCCTAAAATAATTTTTTCCTATTGGATGTAAATAATACATAATGGTTAAAAAAAATAATTCTTCGAATTACAATACATTACATGTATTTATAATGTGTTTGTTCATAAAAGTTCATAAAACATTTTGAAAAAAATTCCCATTCATGTGTATCTTTTCACATCAAGCTCACAAAAAAGAGGTAGTAGTATATTTATACATATATTACATGTAGTTTGAAAAAAAGTTGAATACTAGCACTTATGAAAACACAGTCTAATGATTGACAAATAATTATTAATATTTTTGAAGTCCTGCAACAGCTAGGTCAGTGATTTGAATTCATACCCAATTGAATATAGTTGAATACAGTAATTGAATTTTTCTACAATTGAATATTTCCCTTTTTCGCACATACAGAATTCTCACATTTTTCATCTAACAAATACAGTATACAAATTAAATAAAAAGTTTAAAGATGTTTTTTAAAACACTTATTCCTCCCTACCCTATATAAATGGATTTTTTCTAAGTCCAAGGGCTATAACTCTTTCAAAAATGGCTTGATCAAACTCAAAACAGAACTTGACCTAGATATTATTATGATAAAATCTATATACCAAATTTTAGAAACTACATATAATTAAAATTTTTCTAAGTTGAAGGGGCATAACTGTCCAAAATGGCCAGGTTGTACCCAAAACAGAACTTAACCAAGATAATCTTATGATAAATCTGTATACCAAATTTCATTTCAATATGCAACCTCTGCAAAGAAAATGAACGGAAACTGATAGTGGACCGACAGACAGCAGCAAAGCAATATGCTTTCTCTTCCTCAAAGGGGTTTAATAAAACAGACTGTGTAGATGTGAAACTGAAAAAAATGTCAGACAATGTGCTTAACAATGAAACAAAAAACAAGGATTCATAACAAAACAATAATTCCCATAAATATGTACAATTATCATTTATTTATAGAATTTACATAAATTTATGTAAAACTTTATAACAATAGCCTCACTGCCCATACAAATTTGAAATGAAATTCCTTACAAATTACAAACCTAACAACATAAGAAGAACTACATGAACATAATACATGTCTGGTTCACAGCAATTAGCACTTGCATAACTTTAGTAATGCATCCAATACAAAAACACATTATATTTTAATCAGAAAGGATAGCATTTTGACCATAAATATATGTCAAAAACCAATATATAAAATTGTGTTTCAGTCTGCTTGTGGGCCAAATTATATTGAAAATTAAAATACAGTATTTTTATCTACTGCAGACATTAACAATATGTAAATTGTGTTTCTTAGTGTAGTCTGCTTGTGGGCCAAACGAGGAGGATACAAAGAATTTTACAGAAATTTCTATGTAACAACAGCAACACCATTCTTCATACACAGAATTATGTATCTTAGTGTAGTCTTGTGTACCAAATTAAATTGAAATCAGACCAAAACTGTAGGAGGAGTAGCATTTTGAAAGAATTTTACAGAAATAGAATTATGCATACCGGTATTCCATAGTCATTAAATGTTCTTTTTTAGTAACAAAATTATAAGTAATCAAAAGTTTGCCAAAAATTCTTTTGGCATTTCTATTTTTAGTAACCAAGGCACACCGTTCATCGAAATCAAAAACCGATACACAGAATTATACAAAACATAATTTCTTATAGACATTTTTTTTTAGAACCACGGCAACACCGTGGTACACAGAATTATGTATCTTAGTGTAGTCTGTGTACCAAGTTATATTGAAATCTGTAGGAGGAGTAGCATTTTGAAAGAATTTTACAGAAATTTCTATTTTTAGTAACCACGGCAACACCGTTCATCGAAATCAAAAACCGATATACAGAATTATGTATCTTAGCGTGTGCCAAGTTATATTGAAATCAGCACAAGGGTAACAGCAAACCTGATGCTCCTGTGCCCCCCATAAATATATGTGAAAATTAAAATACAGATATCTCCCAATATGTACATGTTTTAGGTCTCTTATAAGTAATCAAACAAATTATACATGGACATTTTTGATGGTACCTCTGGACATTTTCGCTTTTTTTAACAAGGGTAACAGCAAACCTGGCCCTGATGATGCTCCCGTTTTTACTCTTCTTATACACGTAATTAAGTGAAATCCTCCTGGACCCAAGCTGGACAAGTTCTGCTTGAGACGATGCAGTGTCTTGGCTAGAAAGACAAATTCCAGAATCTATGGAGTCCGATTTCAGTGTCTCTTTTTCCGCGACTCTCACAATATCTGAAGTATCTGTTTCACTATCCTCCTTCCATTTTTTATAGGAGTCTGTTTCTTCACTGGAGGGTGAACGCTTTCTTTTCTCTCCAAGCCAGCCCGGGCGTATTTTCCAGCAGAATTTACAGTGACGTTGGACAGGGGTGTTTTTTGTACCACATGCACAAGTCCACTGATCCTGAGTAAAAGAATATAAAATCAATGCAAATCCCTCACATCAAGGAAAAGTGGTAAATTATTACTGTAACATAAGAATAAGCATCAATGCTTTGTACCTAAAACAGAGTAAAATGATCTCCCTTAATTCAATAATTCTGTGAATTAATAATATATGGAGCCATGTGACTAACTACTATTGTTGATACTACATTGTACTACGTCTGTAGATCACAAAATTTTTGTGACACATTTTCATGAGATAGACATTTACTCTTTATTATGAGACAAAATCTTCACGAATTGTGGTTATTGCTCTATCGTTTTCATGCCGCACCTACTGCGACATGTATGGGACCTCAGTTTATATGGTCTCATCAAAGGACCTGTCTCTACGTTCCACAGTGGTATTGGAACCCGCAACGCAAGGATGAACTAATTACTTTGCGATTCTAGAGCAGACACTCTAACCACTGTGCCACAGGGTGACTTCTCTGATATAAGTAAGGGATACGTTAAAACCTGCATGTACATTTAGAGTATACAACTTAGTAATAAACATATAGAAGAAAATACTGTAAATCACTTTTTATTCTGGAGGACTTTTTTTTCAAGTAATTACACGGTTATTGCTTGTAAAAATAAAAATCTAGAGTATATTGGCCCTGAGTGACAAGAACAAAAATTTGTAGCTCTCCACCGGCAAGTGGTGCGTCTCCATATTAGGGAAAAATTCTTGAGAGGGACATGAAAGATAAAATCAACAATATATCAGATAAAGAAAACTACACAAACTCTTTGCCATAGTGCATGACAATTCAAGCAATTATGTCAAATACATACTCCTTCATTCCAGTCTGTACAAGTATCACTCTCATCTGCCCAGAATTCCACATCACTGTCTGAACAAACCACAATCACATCCTGTGTAAAGTACCAGTAAACATTACAGTACATGTAAATGTGCACAGTTCTGCTAATTTTAAGTCGGAATAAATACAGTGAAATCTTATTAATTCAGACATTAGTAATCTGGAATCAATTTTCACTTTCCAGAGAAACATATGGGGAACAACTCATTTTTATACAAGTATACACACTATTTAAACATAACTAAGGCCAAAAAAATGAATCTGTTTCTTGAGGCAAAAACAGCAATATTAAAATATTATTATGCAGCTAGCAGGTTCCTTTTTTATTTAACAAGTGTTAAAAAAATATTTCTTTTCTGCTTGTCAGTCGTCCAACAAAATGATGTAAACAATTGGTTCTGACAGTTTTTTTCCTCTTACATAAAATTCAATGTAGAAAAACTTTAAATAATGTTTTTCCAACCATTTCCATATATACACCTGTAAGTGAATTCATAAAATACCGTATTTTAAACAAGAAATGCATTATGAATCTCATAATATCTATGTACGAGTATTTAGAACAAGTATATAAAGGGGAATAACTCATCAGCAAGCCATGATATAATTGTTTGTATTTTACTCATAAAACACATTTCTTTTGGAAAATCATGAGCATTAAAGCAACATTTTATATGAATAAGCAGAGGGTTATGAAACTTAACAAAGACACTGTCCATGAAAATTTGATTTACGCTCAGTATACAAGCTTCACCTGTCCTGATACGACGGAGGAAGACTCGGAGATGATGTCAGAGGGCTCGGAATCCTCTATCTCGTACTCGATCGAGAACGTGTCCGAGCCATGCTGATCCTCCTCCAGGAACCACAGGTCATCTGAGGACTCCTCAATTCTACTGGACGACCCATCCTGCTATAGGAAATAGAAAAATATCATTACTTTCTCTTCTGTCTATTTATGTCAATTGTAAACCCAAATTATATTTATGTGAGATTTACAAATTTAACAGGCTCTAAGCAAAAAATAAGAAACATCTTATAGATCTTTACAGAAAAACTCGTTTAATACGAACATGGATATTGTGAATGCATGGATATAGAGAAGTTATCTTGGATCCCCAACTATGTAAATGTAACGATCTCCTCATACGGATATCAGATATAGCGAAGTAATTTCATCGTTCATGAGTCCAAGTGACTCTGTTATAATCAAGTTTTACTGTACTTATATTTAACATTAATACCAATATCAACAGTGTCGCCCTCAGATATTTATGTATGAGAAATATAAGGAATTTAAGCAGGCACTTGTCAGTGATTGCGTTGTTTAATGCAGCTCTGATTACCACTGCATTATGCAAGTACCTCAGTAATCTTCTGATTATAACTACCTGGTTACTGGTGTGATCTGTGTCTGAGTCAGTCTCCACCTTCACCTTAATGTACAATGGATCAGAACATTCAAAAGACCCTGAACAACCTGCCTGATCTTGATCTGAAAAGTAAATAAATTCAGTCAATTACTAATACCCAAACATCTCACCTTGATAAATGTCAGATATGAATATGAAAAGATCTTTCTTATTAAAAAGCTTTTCAAAGTAATGGTTAAAAAAATATCACAAATATCAAAAAGTATTTACATCAGAAACTCAGATGTGGACACCAATTTCAGAACATGAAAAAAGAACCATTTTCAGACATAAAATAAAATTTTAATACTAACTTTGGCTGGGTCCTGCTTCCGAGCTGTTCTTTCTGTCCTGCTTTCGTTTTGGTCGTGGTCTCCTTTTGGACTTCCGCCTGCGTCTCCTGTTGTCCCCTCCCTCTCTGGCGCCCCTCTGAGGTCCTCCTCTGGCACCCCCCTGTGGTGATGTGGATGTTGACTGTACAGATGCCCCGCCTGAAGTGGAGGGGCCAGTACTGCTGGTAATGATGGAGGTGGGCACACTCTGACTGCCACATACTGCAGGGCTACTTCCCTAAAATATATGTATGTGTTGAAAGTTGCATTTGTCTACCATCAAAATGGTTTTAAGGATCCCATTATTTGTTGTTCCTATACCCCCACCCCGACATTTAACACTTTTCCCATCCAATCCTTCTTTAATTAATTTTTTTGCAATTTTAATTAACGAAAACCAGACTTACCTCCCCTGTAGCTGTTGCGTCCTGTGAGGGGGCAGTACCAGTTTCCTGTTGGTTTCTAGGGAGAGGTCTGGTAACTAGTACCTGTCTTCTCTTCAGACACGTGTCTGGGAGCTGGTAGCAGTTTTTATGGATCAAATTCCTAATGAACAAGAACAGAAATTGTTTCTCTTTTTTTTTCTTTTTGTAAAATGGCAGTACAATACAATGATAAACATTGTTCCTAAATACAGTTGAACTTCTGAATTGTGTTGAAGTGATTGGAAAACCCATCAATAACATATTTCTCTCATATTTTACTCTTGATATCTCAAATTACTGAGTATTGGACATTTCAAAAGTTTTTCCTTGGTCACATGGAGTACGAAATAACAAGATTTGGCTGTATGTAAAAATATTCATTTTCCATTTAAAATAATACTTTTTTTTAAACAAGAGGCCCAAGGGCCTTGAATCGCTCTTCTGATAAATTGTACAATCTATCACTTCTATTAGAAGCCTCCAACTCTATTAGTATCATAAGACCCAAATGCATCAACTTACGAAGTTTGATAATATTTAGCCAGTTAAGACTGAAGATATTATAATATAATTATAAAATACCAAGTAGGTCACAGTGACCTACCTTTTGATTGAAATTTTCTGAGGACTCAAGATATATTAATTAACAAAGACTGATGATTCTAATTAAGGACAGATGATACAAACAATTTTTTTCTTTGAAAAAGATTAAATACCGGGTATCATGTCACAAGTTTAGAAAAGTGGATGGTTCTTAGAATTTTTTCTCCAAAGAAGTGGAAAATGAAATAGATTTGTAAAATATTAGTTTTCAATATTTCAATAAGTAAAGGTTTACAGGCGAAAATAAATTTCTGAATATGTTATCCTGGCGCTAAAAGTGTAATATAAACCTTAGAAAAATATACCAAGCCAGGTGAATTTTAAGAGGAAGATCGAAATGATAAAAAAATGGCAATATCACATAGGCTGATTTTTACCATTTAGCTTTTCCTAATAAAATTCACCTGGCTCGGTATATTTTTCTTAAGTTTATTTTACACTTTTAGCGCAAAGATAACATATTCTGAAATTTATTTTCACCTGTAAACCTTTACTGAATGTGATTTGTCTATATTTGTGTTTTCATTGAAATATTACTAATATTTTCCAAGTCTTTTTCATATTCCAGTTCTTCGGAGAAAAAATTCTAAGAACCATCCACTTTTATAAACTTGTGACATGATATTTAATCTTTTTCAAAGAAAAAAATTGTTTGTATCATCTGTCCTTAAATAAGTACCTGAGATATTCAAAAGTAGGTTACCATGACCTTCTTTTTGGTCAACATTCTCTGAAAACCCAAGATGCATCAACTGACAAAGTTTGAAGATTCTAAGCCAATTAGTACCAGAGATAAATAAATATAGCCATCAAATATCAAAAGTAGGTCATGGTGACCTACTTTTTGGTCGACGTTATCCAAAAACCCAAGATGCCTAAACTGACAAAATTTGATGATTCTAAGCCAATAAATACCTGAAATATTCAACAGTAGGTCACGGTGACCTACTTTTTGGTCGACATTCTCCGAAAACCCAAGATGCCTCAACTGACAAAGTTTGATGATTCCGAGCCAATAAGTACCAGATATAATTAAATATAGCCATAAAATGTGAAAAGTACGTCACGTTGACCTACTTTTTAGTCGACATTCTCTGAAAACCCAAGGTGCCTAAACTGACAAAATTTGATGATTCTAAGCTAATATGTACCTGAGATATTCACTGTGACCTACTTTTTGGTCGACATTCTCGGAAAACCCAAGATTCCTCAACTACAAAGTTTG